TGGAGTAACAAGGTAATTAGAATCCAGTTCTGCGTAGGTGGTTATTTGACCCTTTTTCAGAATTGACCAATAAAACCATACAAATGTTGCATGATAAACTGGGAGCATGTGGGCCAGCATACTCTTACATTAACCTTAAGGACCATTCTCAGAGTCTTTGACCTTGTTTACTAAATGTGTCAGCATAGTTTATAAGAGACTGATTCATATAATCTCTTGCCTAAAGTATCGCCCAGCCCCGTCGGTTCTCCCTAGAGTTTCCCATCATGCAACAGCTAGAACAACCTTTCTAAAACACAATCCAAACATATCTCCTCCTTGCATAATGCTTTTAGTTTCTCCCCATTGCTCTCAGGATAAAGTTCAAACTCCTTAACACACCACCCAAGGCTTTGACCATCTGGCCCCACCACACCACCTCCTCAGCGTCATCTCGCGTCCACTCCCTGCCTTCAACTATTCACAGGCCCCTCACCTATGCCGGCTTTTTCATTCCTCCCTGCTTTTTGCACATGCTGTTTCCTCCATCCTTCGTCCTCTTCTCCAACTTGAAGCTCATCATTAAGATGCAGCTGACATTTCTATTCCCCACACCTAGCACAGATAGGGACATCATAAGTTCTGAAAAAATATTTGTTGAATGAATAAATTAATGAATAAATGTACACTGCTAAAAGCGTAAATAGAGAGTGTCTAACACAAACTTTTACACATAGCAGAAGCTAAGTAACCATTTGTTGAATGAATTATTAAGCTCTTAATAATTGTCTCAGTTCTTGGTTGAACAAGAAAAGATTCTCTACGACTCTCGCCAACATTCTTAGTAACCACAAAGGAGGAAAACAATTTCTGAAAGTTACATATTCACACCAAGCTGTCCCTGAACTTCTAGTGGACTCCAAGTTTTAAAGGCCAAGTAGTGTAGTTAGTCAGCATCTATTTAATAACTAAAAGAAAACAAGTCAGCAATGTTTGCTGTCGTTTTCATGATTTGTTTGTCTAGGGGGGGTTTGAAAAATATCTCTTCTTGGATTTTTTTTTAATTTTTTAAAAATCAAGCAAGAAGTAGTTTTGCCTAAGGCCCAGAATATTCCTAGATGTTGCTAAGATTAAAAACAAGCCAACAAATAAACAAAAAACAAAGGCTCTGGGGCAGAAAATTACATTTTTAAAGAATTTACTGTCTCTGACAACATATATAGGACACAATGAAACAGGCTGTGCACGAAATGGTGGTGATGGCCGGAGTAAGGCAGAGGAAACGGGAATGAATATGAAGAAAATTATATGAGAGAAGCTTAGAAGAAAAACTAAATAGGATCTAACTGTTAATCCAAATAATGGCTAGTTTGGAGGAAAATCAAAATTTTGCATTGTGTTTTAGAATTAATCTGTTCAAGTTATTTATCTATTTTACCTGAAAATAACTTTTTCCTAGGGAGATAACTTTAATCATGTTCCTAATTCTAGAGGAGTATATATGGCTTTTCTTTTGCTGAATTAATTAGAACTAAATCAATGTGGTCAGTCAGCAAAATCAACCTTCCATAGCAAATATGAATTACAGCTTTTAATGAACATAGTTCTCTACAACCAACATTTTAACAAACGTAGTTTGCTACAGTGAATATGCTTCATCTTAAGGTTTCAAATCAAAAGTCCTTGGAACTAATAAAACAACCATACAGTATTACAGGAAAGCTCTTAGCAATTGACCAAAACTCAAACTACAGATGACAAGATGCAGAAAAAGTTTAGATGTAACCTAAATTTTGGTAGGTGGTGTATAGAAATTTTCTCATCCTCTCTCTTTAGCTACACAAAAAAACTGTTAAAAACACTTGCACTCTCTCATTTGTTCCGGTTTCAATCCAATTTTAATAAAGGCTGAATTAAAGATAATTGGAGATCATTATAAATTCAATACTGGATACGAGGTCTTAAGAAGAAAAATGAGTCCAAGAAACTGCGATCGGGGAGAATGGTGGGGGCATTCAGTCAGTCATTATTTATTGAGCAACTACTAGCAGCCAAGCATTATTCTAAGTGCTGGGAATATAGTGATGAGCAAAAAAAAGGAGAAATCTCTCCCCACTGGAGCTTACTATGTTAGCGGGAGGAGGGGTGAGGGAAGACTGATAATACACAAAATAAAAGAGTAAATAAGTAAAAATTTAGAAAGTGTAGATATTAGAGAAGAAATAAAGCAGAGAAGGAACACAGTGAGTGCCAGGGGTGAGGGTAAGAGATTACAATTGGAAACAGAATGGTCTCTCCTGAGAACGTGACATTTAAGCAAAGACTTGAAAAAGGTGAAAAAGTGAGGATGTTGATATCTCGTTGAAATATCAACATGTGAAAGTTTTCTAGGCAGAGAGGAACAGCGAGTGCAAAATGCCTGAAGCTAGAGCATGGCTGGCGTGCTCTAGAACTGTTCTGTCCACTACAGTCGCCACTAGCCATACAAGACTATGTGAATCTAAGTTAATTAAACTTAAATGAAATTAAAAATTCAGTTCCTCAGTTTGCACTTGCCACATTTCAAATGCCCAATAACCACCATATTGGACAGTGCAAATACAGAACATGTCCCTCATCATAGAAAGTTCTATTGGACAGCTTTGCTCTAGAAGGAACAAGAAGGCCAGTATTGCTAGAGTGGGTTGAGCAAGAGAAAAAATAATAGATGACGTGACAGAGTTTAAAGGAGCACAATTGTGTAGGAGCCTGATGGCCATTGTAGGAACTTCATCTTCTATTCTGAGACAGGAAGTTTGGAGGGTTTTGCCAGAGGAGTAACTTGATCTGACTTGACACTTAGAAGAACCACTTTGGGTTATTATTTTTGTAATAATCCAGAAGAAAGATGATCAAAGGTGGACAAGGGTGGTAGCAGTGGAGGTGGTGAGAAGTGCTCAGGTTCTGTGTGAATTTAGAAGCTGGTACCAACAGACTATGTTGGTGAAAAGGATGTGGAGTCATGACGAAGACAAAAGAGTAAGGAAAGAGGTCAGTGGTTGGGACATGGGAGTGAATAGGTTGGTTTTAGATTGATTTGACCTTGAGATGACAATAGCACAGCTGAAAATGTCTAGTGAGCAACTGGAGAAGTCAGAGCCTAGTTGAGAACAGGCCCTAAATTACATGAACATAAGTATGAGATTCATCAGCATATGAATTAAGAGATGAAGCAGGAATGGAGGTTGAAGAGAAGATCTCTAAAGTCTGGCCCTTAAAGAACAGCCACAGGAGGCAAGTGGGTAAGGCAAGGAGACAAATAACAGATTATTAGAACCTTAGAAGAATGGAGATGTCAACAGTCAAATGCAACAGAGATGCCAGACAACTCAGGAAAAATGATGGTGCCCAAAAAATGGCCACAAAATTTGGAAAGGCATTGGTCTCTGAATGTGCAGTCTCTACTATGTGTGTGTGTGTGGTGGGGGGTTGGGGTGATGGCAGGAGAGAAGCTAGATTGAAAAGGTTTCAGTGAGAACAGAGGAATTGGATGAACCACTGTTACCAAGAAGGGAAAATGTAATAAACTTTGGCATTTCTCAGTACTTACAGGTAGTTTCTAAAACAGTCGTTCAATTTAATCCAGCCAAATGCTGGTGTGTCATTTGTGTTAAATGTTGTCTTGTGACAAACTGAGTATATTTTTTAAAATTCGGAGTTTATTTAGGCCACAGGGCAATAAAAACATTTTTTTGGAAGACGTAGTTTTAAGAAGGATGAATACATGTACTAGGATTTGTTACTCTTAACCCCTGATAAGTAGCAAGCACATACTTTTAAAGGTGGTGAGGAACCCAAGTCTTTTGTGACAAACAGGTAATTTAATTTTCCTGAAATCTTGATGGAGAAGGAATAGTCAGTGCTTTAAAAGTGGGCAAAGGGAATAAACACTAGAAAGGAAGGCAAGGAGAAAACTGGAGCTGTTCTTTGAGCTCTCCTCCACCCCAAGACCCCTGGTTAAAGGGTGAACGGGAAAGCCCAAGGACTCAGGACAGCACCCACTTGTATTTTTCCTGGTAGGTTTTCAGAAACAAGCTGATCTAGACTCAAAAAACTGAGATCTGAAAAAGAACTTGACATCTCGTCTAGTCCAGTCTCTCCCATTTAACAGACGAGGTACTGAGACACAGGGAGGTTCAATAAATTGCCCCAGGTCGTTCAGCTATGCAGTGCCAGACCTAGACCCTAGGGAGGCTGATTCCTCAGCTCTGTCTGCCTCACCTTCTACTTGCTATGTAAGAGTGGGACTCTCCTATTAAAGGCAGACGGAGCCCGAGTGGGGTAGGGATTAATGAGACTTCAAGAACGCTCATGGGTTTGATGACAGAATATTGGCTTCTTACAAAAGCCTTGGCAACAGGCCTTCTGAAATCTGCGTTGGTGTTGAAACTGCGTTACTTGCCATGCTGACCTGCACACAAGTGAAACCCGCAATGCTGACAAGTGTTCGTTTCACTGATTTCTGTGTAATAACTCCTGAGTGTATTTTTATAAAAATTCATTCTGATACAACCACTGGGTATCCTCAGAATGGGAGACTCGCGGAAAGGCAGGAAGAAGGGTGTAGTAAAAAATAATTTGAATTGGAGGTGAAGGGGTGGATTGCTGGCGGAGGGGATGGGAGGGAGAGTGGCAGGCTGGACCAGAACTGCGGCGGATCACAGCTCTTTCCCGTTGCTAGGGCCGCCAGCGTCCTTGGTTACCGCTGGGCCGAATGCGCTCTCTCCTCGCGGACTCCGAGTCCCGCGCTCTGCCCTCCGCGCGGCCCCTGCGCCGCCTCTCCTGGCGGGGAGAAAAGGGCAGCGGCAGACGCGTGCCCCTCCTTCCTTCCCCGCGATCTGGGTCCAAGGCTGGGTCCCCGTTAGGAATCGCAAACGCTGAGGCTTTGCAAAGCGGCCGGCCCTAAGAAACCCCCGCCGAGATCTGTGTGTGCAAGGCACTAGAGGGAGGGCGGGCCCCAGGGGTCTCCCACCCTAACTCACGTTGTACTCCCTCAGCCAGGACTCTAGCTTGTCCTGCATCGATCGTAAAGATTCGTTGGAGACCAGTTTCCTCAGGTTTTCCGCCATCGCTCGCTTTTCCGCTCGGCCTCGTTGTGGGAGATGGAGATGTGGAAGGGAAGAGGCAATGGTCTCTGCAGGGCCGCGGAGTGATAAGGCGGGAAGGGTGTTATCTTCCTGAGGGGCTCAGAGCGCGGCTGGTGTTTCCATCCTCCCCCTCGGGTGGGACCGGGCAGGGTTCGGGAAGCCGGGGGGAGGTGCCCTGGGCCACGGCCTCCGCGCCTCATCCGCTGCCCGGCGCGGTGTCCTGGCTCCCCCGCGGCCGCCCGGAGCCCTAGCCATAAATACCCGGGCGATTATTAAACAAACCTTGACGTGGGCGGGCGGGTGCTAGGGACCCGCGTCGCCCGCAACGTGGCAACGCCCGCGTCGCCGCCCAGTCCCCACCGTGCCCTCCACCCACCTCCGGCCCAGCCGCCCTCCCGCCGCCTGCAGGCGTCCCGGCCACCCGCCAGAGCGCGCCATGTCGCCGCTCCTGCTCCTGCTGCTCTTCGTCCTGCTGCTGCTGCTGCTGCTGCTGCTGGCCCAAGAGGAGGGCGCCCTATGCCACTGAGGCTCCGGGTTGAGCCGGGGGCTGGAGGACACCGAGACTGCAGATGGCGGCCGGGCGATCTGTTGATGGACCGAGACGGGCCTGCAGAGTGGGATGGCGGACAGCCGGAGGCTTCTAGTCTAGAAAAGCAAAGGGTATTTCTCCATAGACATTTTTCGTTCTTCATAGCCTCCTAAGAAAGCACCTGTTTGGCTCTTTCCTTTATTCTTCACTTCTCAGGGCTTTAATTCTGCTTTTGTAACACCTAGGGCTTACCTGTATGAACCTTACTTTAACTAAATTTCGATTCTTCCTGCTTCTATCCTTTGCTTTGTTCCTTGGCCCACTGGGTGGGTGCCCAAGTAAATAGATTTAGCTCCAAGAGGTTCACAGATTAATGTTAATCCCTTAGGTTTAGACAAGATTTGGTATATTTTTAGAATCATTGAGCACTCTAAACTTTCATTTAATTCTGAATTCTCTGAGACTTTGTGAAAGTTCAGACCCAGTTTGGCACTATGTCAAAAGGGTGTATTAAGCCACAGTGATAGTTTGAACTACTTAAGAAATGAAGCCATTTCAACCATCATTAAGCACTTTAGAAGCCCTTATTTTATATGCCATCAAATGATGTGCTGATTGCAAATGATCCTTATCTATTCACTAAAACAGTAGGGGTGGAGCAGGGCCTCAGGAGGTAACTAGTTTAACTCAGTTCCATTTCTTTAGGTACTTGAAAATATATAAACATTGCATATGTCCAGGTGCCATAAACTTCAGAATTTTCACCACCTCTTATTTTAATTTCTCTTAATTAAATGGTTTACTTAATTAATGGTTTTACTGTCCTCTAATAAAAATGAAAGGCCCGCTTCTGAAGCCTGTGTTCCTACTATTTTCTGTAGACCACAAAATAAGGACTATAAAAGTTCTCGTTTCCAGAAGAAAAATTTGGAACCATGTGTGGTGGTAGATGTTAATAGACTTACTGTAGTGGTCATTTTCACAACATATGCAAATATCGAATCATTATGTTGTACACCTGACACTAATATAATGTTGTATGTCAATTTTATCTCAATCAAAAGAAAAGAAAAAGGGCCAGCTCAGTGGCGTAATGCTTAAGTGGGTGCTCTCCCCTTCGGTGGCCCAGGGTTCACAGGTTCGGATCCCAGGTGCGGACCTATGCACCTCTTATCAAGCCATGCTGTGGCAGCGTCCCATATAAAGTAGAGGAAGATGGGCATGGATGTTACCCCAGGGCCAATCTTCCTCAGCAAAAAAGAGGAGGATTGGCAACAGATGTTAGCTCAGAGCTAATCTTCCTCAAAAAAACAAAAAAGAAAGAAAAAGGAACTATAAGGGTACATAACACATGTTATTTTATCATAGTAGAATAATAATTACTAAAGTAAAAAAACATATACCAAAAAAAGCTCCACTAAATATTCCTTAGACATTTTCGTCCTATATTTTATAAAAAATATAAAGAAGAAAGAAAGGAAAGGAGAAAGACCTCACAGATTTCTTAATTTGGAGCCAACAATTGCATATTTCAATGGGTATTTGGAATCTTTGAACAGTCCTATTTGCTTATTCATAAAAAAAAAATTCAGAAAATTTGCTTGTGTCAGATTAGGGGTTAAATCCTCTTCCTTGCTGTGGGTATCTTAATTAGCCTCTTATCCTTGGTTTTATCATCTGTAAAAGAGGGACAATTGTTTTTAATTAGTAGCATTATTATGAGACTCAAAAAAGATAATTCATGCAAAGTATTTACCACAGTGCTTGGCATATACTTTAGCAAGCGCTTTAATAAATGCTGTGATCACTATTACTACTTTTAATAGAGAAAACTAGGTTGGAAACAACCTAAATCTGCAACAATAGGGTAATGGTTGAGCGAATCATTCAATGAGATGTTGCACAATAGAAATCTTGCTATTGAAGAACATCTATTATCTAGGAATTTTCACTATATAATGTGAAGTGAAAAAAGCAAGATACTAAGTTATATATATTGTGTTATATTCTCCAATATGAACCCAAGGTATGATTATGAGTGATTTTAGTTTGCTTCTTTACAGTTCTCTGATTTTCCAAATTTCTACCATGAACATGAATTGCTTTCATGAAAACTTAATTCAGAAACAAAGTTACCTAAAAAACTTTACCACCCTCAGAAAAATGTTAGCCAAAACATCAATATTTAAGCTGACTCAGAATAGAATACACTTTGACCAAACGTCCATATTACTAATTTAATAATTAGACTTATAGAGACTTAGGAGAGAATAGATCTTTGAATCACCTTAGAATATGCTACTGATGTTATTTATCTGTACAACACTGTAGCCCCACAACTAGATTCAAGACCCTTAAGGCCTGAAGTAATTTTCTGTAGCCCTTGGTTTGCTAGAACTCTGGAGCATGTGTTGTGAATAGCAGAAACTTTGTGTTTATTAATAACAAAGAAGCATAGCCCTCAATTCTCAAAACAAAGGAAGTGTTTTATGTATTTATTATTTACCCCCCACTACTTCCAAAAAAGGATCTGAGATGGCTTACAGTAAAATTTATAGAAAATATCATTGTTAGATTAGAAATATTTTTTTAATAGAAAAAGCAAGTAAGCCTAAAACTTAAGCCTATGTACTAGGATTGAGATCATTTAACATTTATTTCTGGACTTTGTGGAATTCAAGGCAGAAAGAAAAATGAGTTTTATGATTACCATTATTTGGTTTTAAAAGTACACCAACCAGGTCTTTGAATGGAAATGCATTTTTCTAGTATCAATTCCAAAATACGTTTATCCTTTTGGAAAGAGTATAAAACAATACAGATGAAGGTGTCTTTAATAACCCCCCCTTTTTTTTTAGAAAATATAAAAACAATCTTGACACGTCATCAAAGAGAAGGCCAAGCAATTGACACCCCATTTCTTAGCTCTCTGGTGATGTTATTCGATACAAGCTTAGAAATTCCATGCCTTGAGAAATAAATGGACATCCTCATAAGTGCCCCTAATGATGATCCCCTCCACAGAGTTTTTGATGGGTGCTGGATAGCAATCAATTTAAGAGAAAACTAGAGCCTGGAGTGCAAATAGTCTATGTTGCTGATTAAAGAATAATTTATATGCTTTGAATTACAAGCATGCAGTCAACCAGGTTGAGATTCTATTCAAAAAGTTGATAAGCCTACTTTTGTATATATATGAAAGAAAATATCAGATAAGTAAAGGTTCTATTTGGAGAATATTTTTATTTTTGTCCAAATTTTATTATTTTAGGACGTTATCAACTAGGCAATTATTTGGAAAGAAAAGATAAAAATCAAACCTTTCTTTTGTGGTACACTATCAGATATCTTAAAGAAGTTGAAAGAACAATAAACTTGATCATGGACACTCTTGCTTTATCTCACACTCTGCCAGTTAGTGGTTTCTCGTGACTTTATATCAGTCTTTAATCACTCTGAGCCTTGTTTTTTCCATCTATATAATGAAAAACATAGACTAGATGAGCTCTAGGATCTCTTGCAGTTCTGACATTCTCTAATGCTGCTTGTGTTTGTTTGTTTTTAACATACTGGTTATGGTTCAGATTGAGCAAATCTTGCCCTTTGTTTCAATTTTTGGTTCACAGTTCAGTTTGGGTCAAGCCTTGATTCTGAGAGCATTAGTCAATCGCCAAAAGTTGAGCATCTTTCTTGAGTACAATTTATTCCGCAGGCTTGCTGGAATAACTAATATACGTAACTGTCAGAAAATAAACAAGGGGTTTCTCTATAGTTGCACTTTTTATAAATTTAAACCCAGCTCAAATTGACAAAATCTTCCTGACTCCCCCGCCCCCTCAGAGCTCATCACTCTCTTCTTTATGCTTTCTCTCTTTAACCTTTGGACATGTTGATATTATTGCAATAATCACACTATATTATACTTATTTGTCTGCCCCCTATATAAGCCTATGAGCTTCTTGAAGAAAAGGACAGAGGCTTATTTAGCTTTATATCCTCAGCATAGCAACTGTCACATTCTAGGCCCTCTAGAAAAGTTTGTTAAACTGAATTGTTAACAGAAGGAGAAAGAATTGAAAGAAATAAAGGAAAGAAGGAAGGGAAGCAAGAAAGGAAAGGAAGGAAGGAAGGAGATGATTGGCTGCTTTATATCTGATGTCATAATCCCACTGAGGTAAAAGAAAGCAAATGTAATAGTCAGTTGGTCGTTCTTATGGCATCATAATTCTACCAGCAAGCCAAGAGCCATTTGTTCTGGCAAACTGTAATGTGTCAAACATCTGGAAGGAATAGGCTTTCAGAAAGTCCTTAATTTTGTCCACCCTGAATTTTACCTACACTGGTCAACTGGAGAGATTTTTAATTTGAGATTTTAAGAAGCCAACAAAAGATTAACTGAATCCATTCAGTGTAGTGAGAGCTGTGTATGTAGTTTCACACTACACTAAGCATAAATATATGCAGTAAGCTACAAGGATATATGGTGGGATCCTCATCATCATTTCTAGTTCTTCCTCACTAAGGATGGTTGCAAACCGCTAGCCAGTGTGGCTAACAGAGTAATCTGTTCTGCTCTGGCATGGATGCTTTTTCAGGCCCCTGATCCTCTTCTGTGTGTGCCATGCTATTCTCGTCCTACAGCTGTCTGTGTTAGGACCTTGCTTCTTTGGGTCAGGGCCTATATTACTATCTGAAGAAAA